TGAATTGTTTAAGTATCACCGAAACTGAGAATTTTACTTAAGCACAATATTTATAGACACAAACTTCGAGTTAAAAAAAAGGTGTAAATAAAGCCAATGTACAGTAGGTCAGGATAGACATTTGATTTACATTTTGCTATAGGCTGCAGCATTCATGTTGAAGTGTATCTTCAACACACGTTGGCTTCTTTAAACCTGATATTGGTGATGAGGCCCTTTCATTAACAAGGCCGGATTTAAAATTTTCTGTTCCCCCTAGGCCATCTGTCTTGTGAGCTCCCATCTCATTTGAATGACTTAACAGCCCACTAGCAGATGTCTTAGCTAAAAAAAAAAAGACACACCGGGTGCTAGGGCACAGAGGCTGAAAAGGCACAGTTTACCTGCTCTGAGAAAATAGTAAAGATCTGCTGGACAATCAGTCACTAACCCTCCCAAAATTGTAGAATTACATTAAATACATTAGTTTCTTAAGTTGTACTGAGATAGCGCTGGCTACATTACAACCCACACAGGGAACAAAATTAGCCACCCTCCAGAAGATGATTTGAGGATCTACAGCGGAATGATGCACAAATAAGATACATTTATGTTAATAGTTAAAGGAGAACTATGAGTTGAATGAATTACACTCATCCCTTTAGTTAGAGCCGACGTGTGACATTAAAACTGTCACACCTCGGCTCTATTGATCGATATGTGAGCGAACACATACCGCTGCTCGCTCACTTCCCAATCACTAGTATTGGTATGCCTAGCCCGATACTTGAGCTTCCGGTATCAGGAAGCTGGGCAGCGAGTCATTACACACTGCCTGGCTTCCTGATTGGCCGGGAAGCCTGCTCCATGCTCCCTCGTCACTTGGTGATGAGGGAGCACGGAGACGGCTTCCCAGCCAATCAGGAAGCCGGGCATCGTTTAATGACTTGCCACCTAGCTTCCTGATTGGTCGGGAAGCTGGCCTGGCCAATCAGGAAGCCGGGCGGTGAGTCATTACCTGCCCCCGGCTTTCTGATTGGCCAGAATGCCGACTTCATACTCCCTTGTCACCTGGTGATGAGGGAGCATATAGACTGCTTCCAGGCAAAATCAGGAAGCCGGGCGCCGAATAACGACTTGTTGCCCGGTTTCCTGATTGGCCAGCTTCTCAATCAATCAGGAAGCCAAGCAACAAGTCATTACACAGCGCCCGGCATCCTGATTGGCCAGAAAGCTGACTCCATGCTTCCTCGTCACTTGGTGATGAGGGAGCATGGAGACAACTTCCCTGCTCATCGCAAAGCCGGGTGGCGAGTCATTACACGCCGCCTGGCTTCCTTAATGGGACTTCCGACACCAGTATTCTGTATCAGCGAGTACAGAAAAAAAAATATCGCTACTCGTCCTCGATACCGAAAAAGCGGTACCGGCGCATCCCTATTCAAAATGATCCTATATATAGAACTGTTCACCTGGATGACATCTTCAACTTCAGCTCTGATTACAGGTCCAAGTATGCCAAGATGTTCTTCATATTCACCATCTACAGCAGGTTTTTTGAACGTGCTATCAAGGTACTGTCGAAATATAACTTTCTTGTACACAGGTCCTCTAGATTCACTGGCTGGTTTTTCATTGACATTGTACCTTTAAAAAAAGGAAAAACAGTAATAATTTAAAAATTACTTTTGTATAGTTGTAAAAGACACCATGTAAAAAATGTTAGAACAGAGTAAAAAAACCCATAAGAACATATTTTGTTGTAGTCAAAGCCGTTTACTTCATTTATTTTATCTTTGCTGTAAACTTTAACGTTTGTTAAGTACTATTATTCATAGTAATAATCCAGTGAGTTCTGTGTACACAGACCTTTCAAGTTTTTCATTGGTATCAGTGTTGCATGATATCAGTAGAGGTCGTAACAGAGAACAAAATACCACAGACAAGTAAGATTAGTATGGGGGGGCAGACATAGAATAGTGATAACAGTAATAAAGTTACATGGGGTACTAAAATAGTAAATATTCAAAAATTGCAAGTGTTGGTGGAAATCATCATTATGTTTATCGAAATCTTCCTCTAAAGAGATGATACACTTTTAGACAGTACTGCAGGTAGTACCCTTTGAGTAAACTTGCCAAACAGAATAGCTGTGTGACTGCTGCTGAGTAACTGAGCAGCAAGAGTTAGATTTTTGCTGCTTAGTTTTCATTTATCCTATGCGGTTATTTTATTTAAGTAAAACTGTTCACTTAGTAAAATGAAGGTTGGTAAATAACGTTAACCTGAGTTCAATTTAAAATCCCAATTATGTGCCAGAGAAAAAAAAAAATGTTGCCAGCACATGATCGGGTATTTAAAGTGAAAACAGCTTCACCTTATTTACTAAGCGAATTGAAAATTCACATTGCAATGTGAACAATTAATCCTTTACTCCTTGCTAGCCCCAATGTGTACTTGTGTAGTGACCTGGTGACAGTGCTGCAGGATGATGGCCTAAGTTTGATACTTTGATATTGCTCTGGAGTGGACCATAGCAATGCATTTGGGTGAACTGGTGCTAGCCACAAGCCTTCTATGTTCGCCCAACTCGTGGGGGGAGTGAGTTTTGTTAACGCCGGTACTACTCTCAGTTGGGCCGCTTGGTAGTATGTGGGGAAATGCGGCAGGGCCTGACCCCCCTTTGCCTTTGGCGCGTATAATATCTTTTGCGATATTCAATGTCGTTTCGCCTCCCATAAGTAGTTCAGTACCTCTTACTTTGATATTTTCAAGGCTACACCATAATGACCTGAGTTTGATACTTTTGTTTGCAAAGCAACTCCATGATTTCTGCAAAGCAGAAGTATTCTGCCAGCATTTTATTTTAAGAAGGCGGAGCATGAAACTCACTACTGTTGTCAAGGGCCTGTTCCCCCAATCTTTTTTTTTTTATGTCAAAAAGACGGAGTATGGGACTCACTACCACCTTCGGCATCTCTGGGGCATCTCAATACGACTCTTTTTCAAGATGGAGATAATGCTTGGTCTCATCAAGAAAGCAGGGGAAAAGTGATTTAGTAAACAGAACTTAAAGTAACTAAGAAATAGTGAAAGCAAATTGACTTTACTTGTATTTCGTTAGTACAAGTTTAGTAGCCATGATAAGCCAGGTGGCAGTTGACCTTTACTTTCTTCCAACAAATCATGACTTTATAATCTAAACACAGTCAAAATAAGCGAAAGGAATAAAATATACACAAACATCAATCTATGTACCTTATAGCCCGTCCCATGTAATCCCACTGCACTTCCTCAGCGGCAATGTAGTAAATTCTTTTCATTCCTTTTGAGGTCCGCAGAAAATTCTCTATGATCCTGTCTGGGTTGGTGTAGCGGTTAACATCATCTACTGTCTGTATTTTGTAAGGATCTTCAAATGCCATCATAAGTTTAGGTTTTTCCTCCATGTCAGTGCTGAACTCTGCATCTGTGTCATACTCTTCATATTCACCATCACCACCTCTGGGTACTCCAATCACAATTTCTTTCACAAATTTGAAAACACTTCTGGGATTAAATCCTCTGGGAGATAACATTATGTTGTTGTCTGCAGTAATGTTCTCATTGTTCGAGGAGATGTTTGAAGATTCATATTCAAATTGAGTACTATTAGACATATGTAATTTATTATAGCTGCTGTTTGCAGTTCTTTTTTCTTTTACTTTACCTACTCTCTTTGCTCGTTTGACATATTTGATCCTGCTGGAATTATTTGCAATGGTATGAAATTGGAATTTTTCCATTTTTTTCCCATAAATGATTGTTTGCTTTTTTATAGCTTTAGTTTGAGAGCTTTGTTTTGTAATGTCATTTGAAGATGGATTTGACTGATTACCCGATTCATTTATATCATCTAGTTTTTCTTCGATGGCTATCAGTCCTGAATCTTCTTCTAAGACTGTTTCATTACTTTGAGGCTCAAACATTATGATTTTCATTATATCTTCAAAAATCTGATCGCTGTGAAGTCAAATATCGTAAAAAAAGAAAAAAAGTAATTAAATATCAGTGTATGCAAGAGGTAATAATTGATGTATAATTTGTTAAATTGACCAATAAGGTGCAAAATAAGACGGCATTTAAAAGAGCACTCCTGATGAACACAAAATATCATATGTCATAAAAAAATAATGTTTACCTGTATTTGTGTTTTGTCTTTAAACACTTTGTATATCAGAATCTAATTGTACATTTCCACGGTCTGGCCATTTTATGCAATAACAACTATACCACACCATTATTTGAAAACAAATCTAGTCATTGTAATAAAGTGTGCTTATAGCCTAAACTTTCTTAAACATTTTGGATAAAACGGTGAAGGTTTAAAACATTCGTCATTTTTGTCTTTGGTTTTAGGTTAGGGAGATTTCCCTTCCTATCTTGCCCCAGAATCACAACAAGCAAGAGAAAACTTTCCCAAGGTGAGGAGAAATTTCTTAGCCAGTGTTACCAGAACAGGAGGACCCATTGAAAATTCCTGTTCAACTGTTTGGATGAGAACTGTAAATATTTTTGCATTTCCCATAATTTTTTATATAAAAAAAACATAATCAACAGAACAACGCAGAAAAAAATTAATCTTCCCAGCGGCCATTGTCCTCGTAACTGAAGGGCTTCTTTACAATACCCATCACATTATCATCTTTTAAAAATATCTATCACAAACACCACTTCATTTACTAATGAAAGTGATGCAATATGTTTCCATTTCCAGTGTGTGATTATATAAAATCTATACAGTGAGTTGCTATATCCTAGCTGAAAGTTGAAACAGGGTTTGCAGTGGGAGTGTCTGTTCTGTAAGCTAATTGGTGTAGAGGGGCAGGGGTTAAGGTAGGCCAACAGATGGGGTGAGAACACAGGATGAACACGAGGTGGTGCAGTAACATAGAGTGTGAACGGTCATCACAATACGATTGAGCTACATAGCACAGTGGTGTGGGCGGATGCAGCAGTGTATTTAGGTTTCGTGCTGCCCTAGGCAAGACGAAACTTGGCACCCCCCCATCTAAATTTGTCCCACCCCTGCCTGTTCAAGACATTTTGCGTAACCTGTCAAGTCGCTGGATGCAGCTTCTGACAGGTTGCGCTATTAGGCCTCCTTCACACAGCTTAGAGTCGGCCCGTACACATCCGTGCTGCGTTCACGGTCGTGACGGGCTGTTCCCGGGAAGGACAGGTGTTGCGTGTGATTGTATGCAGCAGCCTGTTCTTCTCTATGGGAGGACGCGGCCGTACGCCACTGCGGGTGTCCGTACTCGTACACAGACAGGATGTCTGTGTTCGAGCACGGACACACGCACGGATGTGTTCGGGTGTGCGTATGGCCGTATCCTCCCATAGAGAAAAACAGGCTGCTGCGTACAATGACACGCAACACCTGTCCTTCCCGGGAACGGTCCGTTATGATCGTGCACGCCGCATGGATCTTTATGGGAAGACTCTAAGCTGTGTGAATGAGGCCTTAGCAAGCAGGGAAGCAAGGGTCTGAGGGTCTGAGGTGGGCTGTAAATGATCTCAGGTTGGCTCTGCAGTGTCTCAGGCAGAGACTGCCAAGACCCTGCACATCCCACCATAGACCTTGCACAGCACTTCTGAGTCCCTGAAAACCCCACCAGAGACCCCTCCAGAGCCCACCATAGACCTTGCACAACCCACCATAGACCCTGTACAGAGACTCTCAAGTGGGCTGTGCATGATCTATTACGGGCTGTACAAGGTCCCTTTCCCTGCACACGTGTTGCTCCTCTTACCTACAGCTCCCCAGCCTGTTTCCAGGACATGCCGCTTCTTCCTGCATCTTCCTCCGGCCGCTGAAGCTTCTTCCTCCAGCCACCCGCAGCCTCTGCCGGCCGGTCCGCCTCTCTCTCGGTCCCATCAGCCCTGTGTCTTCCCTGCTCTGTGCCTAGACTCGGCCGCAAAACTTCTTCCTGGACTCGCCTACAGACTCCGGCGGCCGAGCCGCATCTCCCTTGGCCCCGGCCACGCCTCCTCTTTCACCTGGCAGCTCGCTGCCAGGCCCTACTAGCAGCCACCTTATACAACAGCCCAGGCTGCCTGATTTTGTCCACCTGTCGCCAGCTTTCCTCTTTGCAGGGGGGTGAAAAATGCCGCCTCCCTGCAAAGTGCCGCTCCAGGCAAACGCCTTGTTTGCCTCGCGGTAAAAACGCCCCTGGGCGGAGGAAAAGAGTATGTTCATTACTTTACAAATCTTTGAGCTTTTAAGACAGTTTCCAATATATGCATTTACCTGTGTATACGATAAAGTATTATGTAAAACACTGTGACTGATTGGTTCTGCATGTCAACTTATAGTCAAGTTTGGTATGAAAACCTGAACTCAGAATAAGGCATGTTCTCTTTTCTAAAAGTTTACATTTAAAAAGCCCTCACAACAATTTGTAACTAGCCAAGTAAAGTTAAATATGTAAAAACATAATCCAAATCATAAACCAAAATTAACATACCCCAGCATCTCCTTAATTTCACTGTCATAGTAATCAGTAATACTACTCTTCGTTGTACCCAGTCTTTCCAAAGATGTAGAGGTTTTCTCATCTGTAGCCGTGGTGATTGTGAACTCCGGATGACTCTTTGGTTGAAAGGTTGGTGATGCCACAGTTTGTGGGTGGTGCTGGCCACCATTATCATCTATGGGTAAACTATCAGAACTGGTTTGTGATGGTACTCCAGGTGTAGTATTGATTTCATGCTTTTCCATAAACCCTTCTGTTCCATGTGGCCACTGAACAATGTTATCTGGAACAGTTTCTTCCCATTGCTTTGAGTTGTTTTCCCTATACCTTAAGTCGAAGAACATATAATTTGATGCCTTTTCCACATCCCTTTTTGCAACATTAATGGATTTTATGACTTCTGAACTGTTTGTTTTCTCCATTGCTTCTATGTCTTCCTTTTCTGTGCCATTTGTAGGCTCTTCAAAATACGTTGAGAAATCATTTTCTGCTTGAATAATGTTTTCTTCTTTGTCAGCATCTGTGCTGTTGTGATCATGTATATAGACATCTTCTGTTCTATTAAATATTTCTTCACTTTGATCAGGGGTGGCACTTTGTAATGTGTCCATGTGATTAAAACCTTCAGTAGAATTGCTAGGGCTTGTGGGAACAACATATTCATTGACTGAAACCGACTCCCTGGGAATATCCTGACCCCCCTCCAATGTGACATTCTTATTATATTCATCTTCAGTAGACTCAGATGAATGAATGTCATAACTACCTGATGTGCTTGCGTTACTAAGAACACCTACATTTGTAATGCTGGTCTCATATATGTCATCTATAGCTAATGCAGTAAGATTAAAAGTTTCTTCTACGGCCCCTGTATTATTCTTCCGAGATCTAATACCTAGCTTTTCAGCCATCATTTCACTGTAGTCATCCTCTTCTGTAAGAATCTCTATTTCTTCATTGTTGTCATCTGGGCCTGTTCTGACATCTGGATAGTTAAATGTAAATTCTTCATCTAAAAACTCATCATAGTCTACAGGAGCAAAACATTTTACATCTCTGAATCTGACATTCATTCCAGGGCTTTCGTTTAAGTTGAAATTACCGAATAGCCACACACCTGCAATAAAAATGCATAAATATATTGCCTTGAAAGTACATGAAAAAAATTTAAAGTTCAATACATAAAAAAAGTAATCACATGCAAACGTTAAAGTATTCTATTTCTAAAATGCTGAAATATTCTTTTTATGGAATGCCAGTATTTATATCAGTTTAACTATAACTTGCTTACACAAATGCATACATTAATAGTTTTTTGTGATTTGCTAGATTTTTCTCCGGTGTTAGACCAGCCCAGCTGTGGAGTGACATTCGAGCATTGCCCAAGGGCTCGCGGCCATGAGGGGGCCCGTCACTCACCCCCACCCCCTTTCACTTTCCTCCTGCATGGATGTACGGCACAGCATGTGTCCCCGGGCCCACCATACCCTGCCATTGCTACCAGGACCGGATTTACCCTGCCTGCCTCCCAAGGCCAGTTCCCACAAAGTTTCTTATTATTTTTTTTATTTTTTCTTATTATTTATTTTTTTATCAATTTTTTTTTCACTTAACCTTATTGCTATTACACAGGAGCTAATGTGATAGCATTTGGAGGTGACAGGTTCTCTTTATTGAACCTATCACCTCCAATACAGGAGTTCTAGCACATCACTGAGCTGGAAGTCCTGTGACAGGTGAGAGAGGAAGAGCACAGCTCTCCCCTCTCACTGTCTACACAGAGCGGCAGGGTTAGTTTTAACCCTGCCGCTCTGCTCACCGCTCTCCATCCTGAGGACGTCGGTGGCCAGCGAGGAGAGGACGGAGCCTTGTAAAGAAACAAGTGGTGGCTTCCCCCATTCTCTATTTAGCACTGCTTGTGCAAAGCAGGGCTAAATGTAGAAAACAAATTACCGCCCGGTGCCCGGAACTCCGTGTTCCGGGCGTCGGGTGACTTCAAACGTGTGCCGCCCTCTTCTCCGTGCCGCCCCGAAGCCGGGCCTCGGTGGCCTTGCTGGGAATCCGGCCCTGATTGCCGCGTTAAAACAGCTCCTGGTTTGGCAGCGGCAGGTGGGCAGGGCCTGTCTCATGCTGCTCCTGACTGACTCTGCTCCCTGGTTACAGGGGTCTGGCCCTGTCCTTGGCCCTTGAACTCTTCAGCGCGACCAGATCCAGGTGAGAAGAGCTCTGAGCTGGTGTCAGGCATGTGCCACTAATGAAGAAAATGTGCTTATTGGGAACCAATGATCATTAGCACACATATTGTAGGACTGTTAAGCCCCGTTTTTTAAGCTGCTATTAACTGACAGCAGATTGTGACTTAGAACAACAAATAAAAAACCTAAAAAAAAGCATTTATTCTGGTCTGAGGACTCTCGTGCATTTATTCTGGTATGAGGTCTGCTGTGCATTTATTCTGGTCATTCGGGGGCCTTACCACATGCACCGAAGCAGAAGGGGGGGG